GCCGGGGGGGGCGGGGCGGGCACTCCCCCGGCAGGCTCCGCCCCTACCGTAGACCTCAGCAGAGGGCGGTGCCAGCGCTGACCCGGAAGCGCATGTCCATCTCCCGGAAGTGCACGCGGCATGGCGGCGGTGGCGGCCGAGCCGAGCCTGGACGCGTTGCCGGACTCGCTGCTCCTGGAGATTCTCTCGCAGTTGCCGCTGAGGGAGCGGCTGCGCGGGGCCAGGTGCGACCACGTGGCTCCCAGAGCCCGTCGGTGCAACCCCTGCTCCCTGCGTAATGGTTCAATCCATCTCTCCCCTGTCGTGCCCCTACCCGCTTGGGATGGGTCAGCCCATGCCTGGTGTACCGCCCCAACCCTGGGTGGTTCAGCCCATCTCGACCCTGCCCCTGCAGTGCCCACCGCTGCGTCCCCTAGTGGTTCAGCCCAGCTTTTCCTCCTCTGCTGAGCACCTCCCCTAGGCCCAGTCCTTGGGGTGTCCTTCCTGGGGAGCCCTGGGCCCCTCGGCTCACAGGGCTGCGGCTCCTCCCACGTCCCGCAGGGCCCAGGCCCCAAGTCCACCACGTCCACCCCCACCCCTTACTTCTTCTGCAGCGGGAATCATCACCTGGCCTCTTGCTCTGCCCCCAGGGTCTGCAGGCACTGGTGCCTTCTGGTGCAGGACAAGGTGCTCTGGAGACACGTGGATCTAACGCCCTACGAGGTACTGGCTGCTGCCCGCCCCACCTCCGGGGCACGTCTGTCCCCTGAGGCAGCTGTGTGAGGCTGACGTAGCAACCCCTCAGGCAGAGTCAAACCAGAGCAGTGCCTGCAGCTGCACCTGACCCAAGACACACTGCCAGCTTAGCCAGCACTATCTGACATGGGAGGAGACTCCAGCTGGGAGGCCCCCAGAGGACTGCAGGGCTGCTTTCTGGTCCCTCATCCACTCACATCTCTAGGCAGAGTTTCACTGGGCAGTGTCCACTGGCTCCTTGGACTCATTTGAGGGCCAGTGTGCACTATCTGGTGTGCTCCACTCAGTGATCCCCCTTGTTTTGAACCTTTGACTTCTGCTTCCATCCCTGTTTTGTATTTTGCTTATCCCCTAAATTTACGCATACCCAATAGCCCCCTCTATCTATGGGAGGTGCTAACTGTTGCTCTGTGGGTAGGAGGCCCATGTTCCTGATATGTGTTAGATAGGCCTGAGAGTGCATAGGTAAGCGGGGGAGGACGAGAGGCATTAAGAAGCCGGTCCAGACAGCAGGGCAGCTCTTGTATTGACTGGTGGGAGCAGGGACCTGTGGAAAGGAAGCCTAAATTTTATGGGAAGAGAGAAATACCAAAAGTAAAGGGGATGAACCAGCCTCTGGAGGGCATTAATAGCTTAATAAGGAGGGAGGGTTTCAGCTGGTTTGAAGGACGGAGGCTGTGACTGGATGTGAAACAGCAGCATTCTAGCCCTGCTGGAGTGCATAGGGGAGTGACTCTGGGCATCAGTGGCAGGATTTGCAGCAATCTGGGGAAAACAGGATGTCACTTGTTCAAGGAAGATGAGAGAGATGGATGGGGGGTTGGGGCCACCTGCTGGCCTACCAGTGTCTCTATCCATGGATAAAGTGCTCTGGTGCTTGCTTATTACACTCAGATCAGCCTGAAGAACCTGCGGCACCTGCTGCAGCATCACCTGCGCAGCAACGTGAGAACACTGAAGATGAGAGGAACCCTCTCCGAGGCGCTGCTGCAGGACCTGGGGAAGAAGTGTCCAGGCCTCCAGAGGCTGTGCCTATTGTGCACCAAGCTCCGGTATAAGATAGACTCGTATGTCGTGCCCTCTTCTCTGATGACCTTGGAGCTGAGCTGCTTGGAGTTGTCTCAATGGATATTTTTTGCAAAATCTGAAGGCACCAGAGGCCTCTTACAGCTGAAGCATCTCTTCATTTATGAAGTCCCTTCCTTTTCTGATCTCCATCTGCTAAACATCTCTTCTCTCGCTTGCCTGCAGATGCTGACTCTCTCTGGAACCAACCAGATGACAACTCTGGGGTTTCGTGTAGCCTCATCATACCTGAAGGCCCTGGAGCACCTCACACTACGCCAGTGCACCCTGAAAGACTCTGCTACTCACTTCATTGGGTGCTATTTGAAACAGCTCCGCACTCTGAAGTTTAGCAACACTCCCTTCCTGACTGATGCGGGCCTGCCTGACTTAAAGTCTTTGAAGTACTTGGAAACCCTTTCCCTTGAGTCCTGTGTTAAGCTTTCCTGTGATGCCATTGTCACTCTGGGTCAGGCACTGCCCCGGCTGAAAAGTCTTAATTTAAGTGGGATTCCTTTTGATGACCAGACAGTACATAAAATTCAAGCAAGTTTGCCCAACTGCCATTTTTCACCCTCCTGAAATGCTTGCTTTGGAGGGAGCTGCACTTCTAGTGTCAGATGTATGCATCCGTGTGGTGGCCAGATTTCTCCAGGTGCCTCAACAAGGCATCAAGCATTGAAGGGCAAGGACCATTTTGGTGGCTTGTAAAACGAAAACGGGTTAGTGGAAACTCCATTCTAAAGTAACTCCCTCCCCTTCCTGTACCAAGGAAATATCAAAGCCAGGTGGAGGTGCACAGTGATGCTTGCAGGGCCTGTTAGACTGATTCAATATGGGTCTGTTTTAGATTGGTAGTTGGCAGCCCAGGACCTTTTTTGTAGCTGAGTCTCTTTTTTGCATTAAACATCATGCAGCAGCTCACCTGAGTGATAACATAGGGACTAAGTGAATTATCCTCCCATAGCCCAAGAGGGGCTGCCTGTCTCAAACCAAATAGTCCAGCTAAAACCTAGCTCTGGTTGAAAATGAGTCACACAGCTGCACTGCGTGCATATTTCAAAGCATGCCTAAAATGAATTTTTTGCAGGACTTTGCCCTGGGTTTGTGTTGACAAAGCAGATACCTTCTTGTGGCAGAGCTTTGCTTCCCAGATCAGACCTGACAAGAATCTTAAATTATTTTCTTCATGGTGCAGAAACCTCTATACCAGTGGCTCCCAACCTTTTTTTTGCTGTGACCCTAAATCTAGGTGACAATCCCCGCTGCTGACTCGCTCGTGCCCGGCAGTGCCACCAGAGATTGGGCCAGGCCAGTATTGTGAGGCAGTGGCAGCAAGAGCCGCACAAACCATGTGCCAGGAGAGCCGAAGTGAGGGACAGACCCCCCCAGATTTGGGTCACACTCTGAGGTTGGGAGCCAGTGCTCTATACAAACTCCTCCCTTGATTTAAGCAGCACATGACATGCAGATCAATTGAAGCACTTACCATAGTGTATGGGGGCATTGTTATGCTGCCAGAAGGCAGACACAAGGCCTGGTTCATGTGGCTGTGCCCAGCCCCCTGTGCCTTGTCAAGTTTTCATGTTTACAGTCTGCTCGTTACCTGATGTTACAAAGCTGTGTTAACATCAGCAAGGTTTAGCTGCCAGTACCAGTGTAGTTTTGTGTCTGGGAGCAAAGACTGTTGTCTGGGATACAGTGTAATCAATATTTTCTTACCTTTTATTTTACCTTTAAAATAAAAGTGCTTTTGAATCTGCAAAGCTGCATCTTATTGTGAGGTTTTGACTCAGCTGTGACAGCAGTTGACTTGGGCTTCTAACAGGTCACACACAGTTACTGCTGCAAGGGAACATCTACATTTGTGGCCATTGCCTCCTGTCGCAGAGGAGAAGGTTGTGAATAAGTCTCACTCCAGGTCTTGCATGGATGAGAGCAGGCATCGTTCTGGTCCAGCCTGAGTAGGATGCGGTTGTCTTCCGTAAGTAGCTCTGCAGCAGGGGTGTCAAACTCTGGGCCAGGTCCAGATTGTGTGGCTCATTGCAGGTCAGATCCAGCCCAACGCAGTGGCAGCAGCTTGGGCACCTCCAGCTCTGGGGCAAGGAATAGGGCACACAGCAGAGATTCCTTCAGCATGGGAAGGCAGCAGGGCCAGTGGAGAAGGTAGTAGGACTGTGGTAGTGCAGTCAGGCTAAGCAGCCAGATGGTGACCAGGGCTGTATCAGCCCTCACTCACCCTCCTGCTGCTGCTTATCATGTCCACTAGAACCCAAGGGCCTGGACTCTGGCAGGCCACACCCCAGGCTATGTCCCCCAACTTCCAGTGGCCCACCAGTAGCCTATGGACTGGATGGAGTAGCTATGTTCAACACCCCTGCTCTACAGCATCCTTCTACAAGAAGTGTTCTTGACTTTTAGCAGCTGCAAAGCAAACAAAGAACTGAACTTGTTTATAAAAATAACATTCATCATATGCATGATATACGTGTTATCAATTAGGATCAACAGCAACAGATGCCCCCTGAAAATCCTGGTATGTTGGGATGATCAGTTCTGACATTATTTTAGTCTCTTCCATACACGTGTCTGATTCAAATGACTATCTCCTGCAGGAAATATCCCTGCCAGAAACCTGTGTGAGGATTTGAGGAAGGAGCCACATACAGGTGCTGAATTCCTGAATTTCCAAAGTACACTTAGGCAAATGTCCTGTCTCAGTAAAGCGTCCTGCCCCAGGTTGCTGTTGTTACATGAACACCAGATTTGCTAGCCAGCTTATCATCCCTGTTTCAGCCGAGCTGTCGATTGGAAAGCTTGTGCAATCTCGAACAAGAGACCTGGAAGGCAATGACCTTCATGACAAAATACTAGTTACTGCACATCTTAGTAACTGCTCTTTGAGCACTGGCCTGATGCAAGCTCTGTAGTTCTATGCATACACCAGGGGAAAAACATTGGTAAGTGCCCAGTCCTTCATCGGTAAAGGCCTCATGGCCTGTTGTATTCAGCCTGTGGTAGCAGGTGTTCTGCTGACTCCAGACTTGAAGCTCAAATAAAGGGTGGATTCAATCATTGGTTCTCATCTTAGAACTTCAGCAGTGTCTGGGCTCTTCATTTATGGCAATTTAACACTCAACAAAAATGAAAGCAAGAACACAGCAAACTCTACCCACAAGTCAGTGGGCAAGACCGAGACTCCAGGATCTGAATGTTCCCTACAAACTTGTTTGTACAGAGATGCTTGCAAATCTGGCTGCACAGCATTATTTCATATTTATCATTTGTGACTTCCTAGTTTTCCAGTGTCCTTGCAGAGCCTGTAATTGCTAAGTACAAAGTGGTGGGGAACAGCAATGGTATGTGTTATTAGTCAACAGGTGGATACTTCTACCCCATTCATTTCTTGAGTCTGGTTATCTCAGAAGTCAAAAGCTGTGCTGCCAGACTCGGATATTGTAAGTACAGCTGTGTTGTCTGGCTCAGCATCCTATGACCCTGGGCAAGTTGCTTCCCATCTCTGTTTCCCTTCTCACAGGCCATGTGTCTATTTAGAATGTGAGCCCTGTAACCTGTGGCTGTGTCTCTGGCCATTGCCTTCTGGCACAACAGGTCTCTGATTGATATTGGGGTCCTAAAGTGCTACCACAATTTGACTTGGCCAATATAAATAGCCCAAGAATAGCCATGTAGTAACAAGCAGTGCAGTACCTGGCATTATTTTATTGGAAGGGTGGCCTGACACTACTGCAATGAAACCTCACAAAATTACACCATGAGTATGGTTCTTAAATGCATAAGCTGTGGCTCAAAACCAAGACCCTTTGAACTGGTGTGGGAGATGAGTACCCCCTTGCCATGATCATCTGAGCAAGGCCCATGTGTTTGCTGTGTAAGCAGTCAGTTGGGACATAGCCTAAGACACACTCTAGGCATGTTTAGCAGTTGCTTTCCAAAGGTCAGGAGTGCTGCAGTCTTCTTCCAAAACAGGCTCATCCTTCTGGTTTCCAAACTTGACTTCTATGTTCACTTTGACCTTTTACTTTACTTCATCTGACTTTTTTTCATGTGTCTAAGGGGAGCAGCTTCAGGAATGAGGCCTCCTGTATTTTAATTCCTGTGCAATTTAAAATCCACCAAAAGTTCTGAGGAAAAAAAGGACAGGCCAGTTGGCTAGCAAAGAGCTCTCGGGCTGAAACCAGGCTGGACATGGAAGGGATCCAAAGTGCTACAGCTACAGAGCAAGCAAATGGGTACGTGGTCTGACCACTGCTGGTTATAAATTAACCTTTGGATTTAACATTGCAGGTGGAATTGAAATTTTTCTGTCGTTGGTATTCCAGTCCACGTGGCCCCACGCGTTCTGTCCATACTCCAAGGCCATACAGAGCTGCCCCTCCCTCTGCCTTCCAGGCACTGTTCACCAGAATGGATGAGGAAAGGTTTCAGGATGAGCTGCGCCTTTTTAAAGGTAAATTCCACCTCTCCTTTCCCATCTACACAATGGCTCAGGAAGAGCTGGGGGCAAGGACTGACCTGCCAATGTGCCCCACTTTTTCTAGGGGCTGGAAGAATGGGGCTACCACCTCTTTGTCAGCCTGGCTAAATTATGCCAATGGTCTGGGCTGTTTGGTGAGGACTCCTGCCATGGTAGGAGCCGCAATCTTCAGTTGAAAGACAACCACCACCTTGACCCTGAGAGGGATGAGGGACCTTCATCCTGCTGCAGAGAGGTTATGGCTCTGAAGTAGGACTCAATGACTGGGGCATCCAGCCTGAGCTACACAGAGGGAAAGGACTGTGCAAAGCCCTCTCTGAAAATCAGCACCCCCTTAGGGTATATGAAATTGGGCACATGAAAACCAGGGTTTCCCAAGCCATGAGTCACCCCCTGAAAGCTTGGTTTAATGGTTAATTACTTGGGTTTAATAAGCTTGGAACATTAAACACACACCAAGTACTGCATGCTAGACATGGTTCTAATGCTTCCATCGTTTATAAAGGATAAAATGGCCACTGGACTTTCTAAATATGTGAGTTGTAGGTATGTGGTATGAATGGGTGTCACCTTACAGTGCTCTATAGCAGGAACCAGGTTTGTTTAGGGTTTGTACAACACCTGGCACATGGGGTCCTGGGCCTGGAGTAAGGCCCCTGCCTGTAGTCAAACTACCAGTAAATAAAAATAACTCATAGGAAAGGCTATAGTTGTAGGTTTAAGTGAACTTGCAGCCTCTATAAGAAGTGATCAAATGTTTCTAGAATCATTTACTAAAATGTTATAAACCATATGTGAACTACACATATCACAATGGGACAGGGGAGGACTGGTCGACCTGAGTCAATGCAGGCCTCAAATGTGGTGCTTTCAGTCTGCTTCATCTGTTTTAAAGACAGAAACTTCCTCCTGCAAAAGCTGCGCTCCTTCTTCCCAGTCTACTTGCTGCTGGCGCTCTCTCTCCTGTTGACCCTGATCCTGTTTGGGGTGTCACTGTCCAAAGGTACCATGTTTTTAGGGGGTTGAAGTATCTCCTACCACTCATTAAGTAGGCATCTGAGGACAGAAAGAAACAAGGGGTCTGGTGCCCTGGACTCCTGGGTTCTAACTCTGAGACCAATGCCCTCTGTGTCCTGGTGGTTGTTCATATCAAAACAGTCCCATTCAAGAGCATCAGAGCACTGGGCCCTGCCCAGACACTCATGGGACAGTCCTTACTCTCTGGAGGAGGAGAGAACAAACAACACATGACCAGTGTGGGCTCATGTTGACTAAGGTAGTGCCAGCCAGTGACTAGAGACTGCGCTGCCCGAAAACCTGCACAAAACAGTTTAGTCTCTGGTGGTGGGGAAGGGGCCTTTTGGATTTTTCCCCTCTGTATCCCAAGGCATTTCCATTTCCCAGTGAATGTTTTGAGATCTGCTGGAAGCTCTGGAGAACAAGTTCATATTAGTTTCCTAGGGCTGTCTTGCCCTGCAGATTATTGCAGGGATGTGGCCTAAGTTTTTCCAGTGTATTCAATGAAGCCTGAATAAAAAGCATCTCTAGCACATATTGCAGGTGTCTCCAGATAGGTCATATCTTGGAAGTGAAGTAATGCTGTTGCAGAGAATGGGACCACTGTGAGGTCCAGTCACTAGGCTCGTCTTCTCTCTCTCACTCTCTTTGATGCTAGTTTCATCAGTTTCTTCTGAACTCCACAAGAAGCAAGCAGAGCTGAAAAAGAACCATTCCAGCCCGGATTATCAGTGTAAGTGCTGGGCATTCTTAACACTCCCTTTCCCCCAGCTCTCACTGCACAGATTGAGCCTGGCTGTGCCCTCCTCTCTGGATCTGCCCTGCTGATTCTACCCTGATTGATGCCTCTTCTAGGAACCATGCAGCAGACTGACCTGTTTGATCTCCTGCAGGTGCCTTGGAATTGAGGGCAGCTCCTTATGTAAAAACACCCACCTCACCCTGCAGTTGTCAGTGCCCTACAGGGGAAGCAATACTCTGTGACTCACTGACCCAGCACTGAAGGTCCTGGCTTCTGACATACTTACTTTCCTAGTGAAAAAGGGAGTCTTTGTAGCCATTAGAATGGGCTGTTTTGGGTATTAATACTACATTTGTGGGAAACCAGTGTCTTTCAGAGCCGGGGTTGTGCTGTTGTGTTCCAATGAAACCTGTGTCTGGTGTTGGTTGGGACCTCACCATCAAGTGAGTCTAGTATGGTGCAGGGTCAGCCTGGCTGGTGTCTCACATTCACCTGTTCCCTCCTTTCTCCAGTGTTTCCTTGCGGGCCAGAGAGCAGAGAGTGGAGGTACTTCAATGGGAAGTGTTATTACTTCTCACTGCAAGAGATGAACTGGCACAAGGCAAAGGAGCAGTGCAAGGAGCTACACTCCCAGCTGGTTGTCATTAACAACTTGGCTGAACAGGTAAAGTCACCAGAACCAGGAAGGGGGAGACTTGTTCCACTCCTTTCCTCACCTTGCACATCCCCAGGGGACATGTCTTAAGTTGCATACTGCTGGCTAGGCAGCTCCACAGCACAATCATGTGTGTTCCCAGTATGACATGCGTGACAATGCTTGTCAAGGTCACTGGCCTTGATCACTCCCTTCCAAAGCACAGGCCTCAGTTCCTTGAGCCAAAGGGGCAGCTCTATTAACAACAGCAGACTCTTATTCTCTGTGCACCCACCACAAGAGGGGGACACGACACACCTGGCCTGTGTTCTGTGCTGTGTTATGGTACTACATGTGTGTAGTTCGGCACAGGCCCATGGAGCACGGTACATACACAGAGCATCCCCTCCCTGCTCAGAGTCTACTGTAGCAATGGAAATGGAAGCACCATGTATACATGAGATAAGTCCTTGTGCTTTTTCCCTCGCCTCCCACCACCTTCCCATTGCAGAATTTCCTTGCATACAGGATGCAAGGCAGGGAGCGCTACTGGCTTGGACTCACAGATGTAAACATGGAAGGAAAATGGGAGTGGATCGATGGGACTGACTACATGAACGGCTTCACGTAAGTCCTCTTTCTTAACCCCCATTTTTCTGCTGTAACCTGTGCTGTGCTGGGTGGAACATGGCTGGGGAAAGCAAAAGGGTCCAGTGAGCAGGGTGCAGGCAGCAGAGGTTATGTAGCATTTGAGGCTGATGGCCTGAACCAGGGGAAGCCCCAGGGAAGGCTGCCTTCAAGGCCGTCAGGGGCCCCTCCTGCTGTAACCTTAGCCCTCATTTCTCGTGTCCTGTGCCAACCTCTCTGTTTAGGTTCTGGAAGAAAGGAGAGCCTAACGACAGTGGCCACCGTGAGGACTGTGCCCACTTGTGGAACTTTGGAGAGTGGAATGATGTATACTGCAGCTACGAGTGTCACTACATCTGTGAGAAGCCTGTGCCGGCCTGAGCAGGGCTAGCATGTGGCTCTTCCAACCCACACATCAAAGTAGGAGTCTGCGCCATCTCAGGGGCTGTGCTCTACACCAACGCTATACCTGCCTCTCTGCTTTCCCCTCCCTCCCTTCTCCCTTTTATCTGTGTGTATGTTCCTGTCCCCTGCCTTGTGGATTACTGTCTTGGGAGGGGGATGGACAAACAGACTTTCATTCTCCCAAAGAATCCAGATTTTTCACAAAAAGCACTTTGGCATGATCCACAAGGCAGCTGGCTGGGAATTCCCTGCTCAGCGAGCTGGGGTGGCTGGGGAGGGTCCTATCGATCTGTGCTGTTCAAGGACTCTGCCTAATAAAGGTTTATTACTGCTTGGGGCCGTGGCTCATGAAGGCTCTCTCTTTCCTTTAACAAGATGTGTGAGAAACCAGCCAGCCTGCAGACCAGGGCAGAACAAGAGCCCTCCAACCCTGCACTACAGCAGCCAAGGGCCCACTAGCTGCTGCAGCTGGGGCTGGTTGCAGATGTTGTCATGCTGATTTTCAAGAGAGCAACTCATCCACAAATGGAAAATATCATCATTTCCCCAAAGGATTTTTTGCTCCCTGCTCCCAAAGCAGGATGGCAGGGCAAACATAAACCCTCCAAAATAGCATCATTCCCCAAACAGAAAGTTTCAGCAGCAGCACTACTGGAAGTGGGGTACAGAGGATCCAAGAGAAAGATCCCAGATGCAGGCTGGCACTGCCCCTCCTTGCTGGCCAATACTCTTGTGTTCCCAAAGAAGCTCAGAATTAGGATTTCCAGGTGCCAAGAAAGCCCTTGGGTCAGGTCAGCTTCAGGCAAGATCCTAGGCATCCTCTTGTTCTGGCAGCCAGAGTCACCTGATCAAGGATGCCAATGCATCCTTTTCCTTTGTGCTAGGTGAGGCTGGAGACCACCAACACCAGCCAGAAGTTTACTCCCTCCCCCTGCCCAGCAGGAAAACAGGACTTTTTGTCAATGTTTTTCTTTTAAAACCCTGAAACATGCTTCTCCTGTGAGCTGAATGCCCAGGAGGGGAATCCAAAAGGCCTGAGGAAGGGCTCTTCACACCTCAAAGGTGGCTGGGAGGGTGAGACATGCCCTGACCCAGGGAAAGACCAACCAGCCTGAGCGACCCTCACCTCTCCCCATAGACCCAAGCGACTTTCTGCAATGATTTTGAGGCAACAGTCCCCCACCCCATGCCTGAACAGGCATTTTCCCAGGGGAAACATCCCCGGTTGAAAGAAAACGGAGCCGCTTGTGGATGGGAAACGTGGGGTTTGGGGGCAGCTGCAGCCCGGAGCCGCTGGGCAGACAGAGTGACCTCGAGGGTGAAGCCCCTGCCTCCCGCTCCCCGCCTGCGGCGGGGGGGGAGGCCCCGCCCCCCCGCCCCCCGCCTGCGGCGGCTCGAACCGCCCGGCCCGGCCCTCCCGCAGCTGCGGGACCCGACACGGACGGGGCAGCAAATGCGAGGCGCTGGAGGCCGGTGGGCCGCACGCGCTGGGCTCT